ATCCCAAGGCTATAGCGATAAATACCAGCGTTATATCGATAAATACCAGCGTTATATCGATAAATACCAGCGTTATATCGACAAATACCAGCGTTATATCGATAAACACCAGCGTTATATCGATAAACACCAGCGTTATATCGATAAATACCGGCGTTATATCGATAAATACCAGGGTTATATCGATAAATACCGGCGTTATATCGATAAATACCAGCGTTATATCGATAAACACCAGCGTTATATCGATAAATACCAGCGTTATATCGATATATACCAGTGTTATATCGATAAATACCAGCGTTATATCGATAAATACCAGCGTTATATCGATAAACGTGGAGTTCCAAAACACTGAAACAAACCCTTAGCTCTGCCGGTTGGGTCTGTTGATAGGTCCTTTCAACCTGTGTGTACAACAGTCCCGTAGTGACTGAATCATTCTGCTCCCTCTCTCTGTCTCTCTCTCTCTCTCTCTCTCTCTGTCTATCTGTGGAATGGCAGCTGTCTTCTATACTTACATTGGTTTACTGAACAGCTGGTTGGGCTACAGAACAAATATAGATGATGATGAACTATTGAAGTAATGGTTGACAATAGAGATCCTATCGGCTATTTGAGTGAGTTCAAAACCAGTAGAACAGAATGATCCCCATGTTTAAGTGGGGAATAAAGAAAATAACTGATGCTCTCTCTCCTCTCTAAGTTTATGTGACATTGTTTTTATGAGTAATACCTTTAGATGGAGAGCTGTGACAGGGATTTATGAAAGTCCATTAGTTTGTTCAACAAGCATTTAGAAATGTATTTACAAACTGATTCAATCATTGTTGAGTTGGTTCATCCTGGTGCTCACCTGCTCATCATAGCATAATGACAAATACAGTTCCCGTAATAATGCTATGATGTGACATAGCCTCCACCAGTCGGAGGCCGGACAGAGTCTGGTGGTTCAGAAGTAAAAAGAGAGTCTCTTCTACAGAGCTGACTGTTCCCTAGGACTCAGTAGACGAAGGACAAATCAAAGGAAAAAGCTTAGGCGTGTAGAACTGGAGCAGAAGCAGAGCAGAGAGGTTGTAAAGTTAGGATTTGTCCGGTGGAAGAAGGATGTAGAGGATCTGTTAGAAAGTCTGCTGCCTCATTGATGTGGAGTTGGTGAAAGTGGACAGAGTCTGAGGAGAACAGTGAAGGTCCAGTCTGTGGATCTGGACCAGAATAAGCTTTGGCAGCTGGGGGCCAGCAGGGGGAGCTCTAGGGCAGAGAGACCTGAGACAGAGGAGGAAGTCCACCAGAGGAATGGTATACAGGGAGAGAGTACATAGAGTCAGAACGAGCCCTTTGAAACCAAATCACAGCCACGGTTTCATGCCTCTGCCCTGCTTCTACAGCCATAAAAACACTGGGTGTTTACGGCAAAGAAGTGGTACTAAGTACTAAGTACTACGGGTATTCCTTTAGAATCTATTGTTTTTCTAGGCAAGGCAAGACAGCTTTATTTGTATAGCACATTTCAGCAACAGGGCAATTCAAAGTGCTTTACATAAAATCAGTTAAAAAAAATAAAACGCAGCAGAAACAGTTAGAAATAAAAACACAAGAATAGAAATGACAGTGCAGTATAAGAGATTCAACAGTAAAGAAATGAACGTCATTTAGAGAAAAGGCAACATAAAAAAGAAAGGTGTTCAGCTTTGATTTAAAAGAACTGAGTGTAGCAGCAGACCTGCAGGTTTCTGGGAGTTTATTCCAGATGTGAGGAGCACAGAGGCCCTAAACCGCTTAGTGATTTATAAACTAGCAAAAGTACTTTGAAATCAATTATTTGAGACACAGGAAGCCAGTGTGAGGACTTCAGAAGTGGAGTGCTGTGGTCCAGTCTCTGGGTCTTAGTGAGGACTCGAGCAGAAGTGTCTGATTGATTTCTTAGGGAGACCCGTAAAGGCCCTGTTACAGTACGTTAAGCACTTTTCTAATTAATATTCCCCACTCATTGACACACCTGCTAAAGAACAAATACAAGGACTGTAACTGGCAGCCAAATGATCAGAAAGACACACCAGAAATATGCCTCCTGTCTCCTTTTTAATGGGAATGGTTTGTTCTTTTGGCTCACATTGCTGCACAGTGTTGTCCACTTAAAGATAGATAGATAGATAGATAGATAGATAGATAGATAGATAGATAGA